ACCTGTTTTGATGAAAAAAGAGACAGAGGACAAGTAAGCAAACAGAAAACCAAAATGTACAGTTTAATTTTTATTACTTTTTTAGTTAAATCTGAGAACTGGTGTATCTCATTTCCTCTGTAATTATGTTACCCATAGAAATCCATTGTATTATGATTTTTTCCAGAGTATATCACTAATATAGTAATGAGCCAGCCAAATGAAAGTTCTATGCTAACATCAAAATGTGTTTATTATGATGACCATGAAATAAATTTTGAGTTAAAACATATTTAAATTATTTTAAAATAATTAAATTAATTAGGGTAAATTGGAGTCAGCCAGGCATAGTGTTGGGGAAGAAAAAGTCAGTGGAGAAACAGTAGAGATAAGACCTGAAACAAAAGAGACCACATCTAGAATGGCCAGAGTGGCACACGGATCAAGAGGATAAGAAAGGAAGGGGTAAATTGGTCAGTATGCATTGGGCCATGGGTAGGAGTCTGAATGTTTAGTATAAAAGCAACAGGAAGTCATTGAAGAGTTTTACCCAACACAGTAGTATGATAGTGAAACCAAGAATGAAGAGGTTAAAAAATCTTCCCTAGAGCAAAAACTCTGAGATAAGCTTTGCAAACTGCAGCTGTGCATACTTAACATAATCAACTGCTGTTTAAAACTGACCAGGTCTTTCTGTCCTTTCTTAGTATGTAAGTGAGTTATCTTCCCCAGGAAGTCAAGGTCCAGATGTCAAGATTCAGCTTCACATGGCTAAACACAGGCTGAAGATGAAAACTAACCAGAAAAGTCCAGATAGTCAAGGGAAAAGAAATTCAGTCTTCAAGGCCAAACACAGGATGGTGGGAAGGTGTCAACCAGCAAGGACACATACTCCCCCTCACCTATCTGAAACCTCAGCACATGCTCCCCTTTCCCCACCTAAAACCCCAGATAAAAACCTCTACCTTTTTCCCTTCGAAGAGGTGGATCTGAGTTCCAACTCCCATCTCCTCATCTGGCTGCCTATCAATAATAAACCTCTTTCCTTGCCATGCACCTGATGTTTCCAGTTTTTGGCCCTCCTGTGTGACAGGTAAACGAACCTGTTTTTCTTCAGTAACAATCAGATTTAAACGTTTTAAGGGTTCACTCTAGCTGATGAAGGCAGGATCAAGAAGAAATATAGGGAAAGAAGTTAAGAGACCACTGCAGTGGTTCTGCAGAAGATGACAGTGGCTTAAAATGGTGGCAGTGGATATGAGCAGAAGCAAATGCATTTTAGATAGAAGAAATATCTATGTGTGAAAGAACATGTATAATAAAAACAATAAATATTTGATATATGAATGAAGAAATTGTTTTAGAGAGACAATGACTTCCAAAAGGCCTTGTATGGTTTTTTTCTTAATAAACTGAATGAGGTGGACTGTGTTGTTCAACACTTCATAAAAATACAAAAGACAAAAGCAAGGAAACATTATTAACTTTTATTCCCTTCTCATGTACTCAGAAAAAGACTTTCCAGATAAATGATATTTATCCCTTTAAAATACATACTCTCATATCACACATACGATTTAAAAATAAATATTATACAGATCCTTATTTTTGTTAAAAATAAAAAGGATGCCAGGGGCTGGCCCCGTGGCTGAGCGGTTAAGTTCGCACGCTCTGCTGCAGGCGGCCCAGTGTTTCGTTGGTTCGAATCCTGGGCGCGGACATGGCACTGCTCATCAAACCACGCTGAGGCAGCGTCCCGCATGCCACAACTAGAAGGACCCACAACGGAGAATGTACAACTATGTACCGGGGGGCTTTGGGGAGAAAAATGAAAAAGTAAAATCTTTAAAAAAAAAAAGATGCCAGATTTTGTGTTTTCCTTAATGTTCAAAATCATTACTAACTTTGTTAAAAATTTTTCTTTCTTTATCAATTATTCCCTGCTGATTTCTTTACAAGCACTCCTTAAATAGGTAATATAGTATATTTTAAATAAAATGTCCTTCAGATTCTGGAAAGTTCTAAGGAATACTTTCTCAAGTTTCTTTCTTATCATCTCTATTCAACATGCCCCTGTATCCTGCAAATGACCATCTTCCCTACTTCACAGAGTAGAGTAGGCAGAAATACCCCAATATAATGTCCTACCCTGGTTCCATCAACATATCTAGATCACACCTAATATTTCTTTCATCCAGTATCAGTGGAAAAGTGTCCTTCATTGAATCTAATGGAGTGGAATTGCTCTACCACTGTTCTGGAACTCATTCCCTACATTTCCTCAGGTCACAACTATAACAATGATTCCCTTTCCTATATTTCTAACCTATCACTGGTTCTTTCCCATCAGCATATTCATATCCATGTTCTTCCATCTTAAAACCACACTTTATACCCTTTCTAACAACTAGCCAATTTCTCTCCTTGCCTTACAGACCTTTTTAAAAAGCATCATCAAAGGCTGTTTATCTTCCTCTGCTCATTTGATGGTTGCGCCTGTTTCATTTTTACACCCATTTTAAAGAGGACAGGAAGGCTCAGTAAGGTTACGTAAACTTTCCAAAGGCTATAAAGTTTAAAGCAGTTTAGAGAGAATTCAAATCAAGATATTCTCATTTAAGGCTTTACTTTGCTTTGTAATTTAAAGCTTTATGTCATCAATGTCACTAAATGTAATTATTGGCTTTTGTGTGCTTGTTTTTCTAAACCTTAATATCATAAAGATTCCTCCCATATTACTTAACATATGAATAATGAGAGAACAAATTGATCTTTCAAAATATGTGATAGTAGTACTAAGTACAAGACCTTTTTCCTGATTTTTAACCTGGTAAAAGCTACTACATAAATATCAAAGTGTTATTCACTTCTTTCTGATAGTACTTTAAAAACATAAAAAATAAATAAAGTATTACTTGCATTTTGTTTTATACTATAGAATGGTAGATACAAAGATGTTGTAATTTATACTAAAGTGAGTAAAAGTACAATATGATGAAGAAAATATATTTTATGTGCCTTTTTAATTTATCCAAATACAATTTCATCAGGAACAAACAGTTCAAGGAACTAACACTACATTTTGGAAGAGAAGTCTAATTGTACATGACTCCACAATATACTGAGTATTATCTCAACTAAGTAATATTAGGAACTACAAAAGACTATTACTTTCAGTAGGTAATTCCTAGTTTGCTCCATTAGATTATTATTTTTTCTAATTCCATAGCTATCCTTTTAAATTAACTAAGACAGATGATTCCTTCAATAAAATTAACCATTTAATGTTACTACACTTTTGTCACTAAAGTCTTTAATGTATTAATTTATCCTGTAAACATTCATTGAGGGCCTACTATGGGCAAGGAACTATGTCAGGCAGTAAATGTAGAAAGATGGAAAATGGGTGACAGAGCTGACATCTGAGGTAGTTCAAGGAGAATGTCAGCAGCACATGAAAGTCAAGGTGACCTCATGAAACTTCTGAAAGTACATTTATTTAAACGCAAATATTTAACCAAGTTAACGCATAACATAGGCAAATTATATACAAATACAATTAAATACATAACATATATTAAGGACCAAAGTATATCTCCACATTACTATCTTTCTCAAATGTCACAGCCTCTAAGGGAACAAGATAGATTCTTTGGTTATACTGAGGAACTCTATTTCTTTTTCAGAAAATGTAAATCAGTTTCTTTTCTGTGTATATAAAGGAAGCACTATTGGTGTGGAAAGCAAATGTGAATATTTTCATCTCTCTGAATGGCTAAGTTTCTCTGAGCATAGAAAAGTAGAATTTGGGTTAAAAGACAAATCTGGGAAGTTAAAAGATAACTGAATAGATAGTGAGAGACTTCTGGAGGGATTTACCGCCCACGGCAACATTTCAAAGGGGGGTAAAGCCTAAAGCCATATATTTATATTCCAAAGGATTTTACATTAGGGAGTTGAAGTCTCTCTTCTTCTCTCAGGAGAGGAGGAGGGCAGCTGTATAACAATTCTGTTATAAACACCCAGATTAATAATTTCAGGATTCCTTTCTTGTGGTATAAAACCCCCCTTTTGGTACTTGCAGTTGCCACTATCTGGCTCTCTTCACATTCCTCTGAACAGGGTGTGGGGATCAGAATTGGCCACCCCAAAACATGTCTCTTTGGCTTGATTATTTTTAAGAACAAAGATTCTGCAAGAAACTTTGACCTTCCCCCTGACTGCCTAAAACAATTTAAGATAGAAGGCCTGTTCCAGGAAGAAGCTAATACCATAAGATAACTATAGTATAGTGTAAAATAGATGTGATAGACAGAAAGCCACCAGCAAACCCACTTTTATCAAAGTTCAGTCACACTGTCTATAGATGGCCCAGCAAAGACATGTTTATCAAACATTTGCATTTCCATCTCCATTAAATTGCCTTCCTCCCCTTTGAAGTCCCAAAACTCTACCCGCAACATCCTCTTGTGTCTTTGGCTGAAGATGGTATTTAAGGTGGTGGCTTCAGCCATTCTGGTAAGTTACTCAGTTTTTCTGGGTTTCTCCTATGTATACATGTTATTAAACTTTGTTTGATTTTCTCCTGTTATCCTGTCCAATGTCAATTTAATTCTTAGATCAGCTGAAAGGACCTAGAGGGTAGAAGAATTATCTTCCTCCCCTACAGGGAACATGGAATGTTTGGAACTGATGTGGTTATTACTCTAAGAAATAAGAGTTCATCCAGATCCAGAAGCTTTGTAATTGCTTTCAGGAGAAAAGAAATAAATGTATATTCAAACCTTAGTATGTTCTAAATCAGAGTTTGGGGGAAAAAGTTTCTTTGAAGACAGAGCTTCATTATACTTATTTTCAAGCTGATCAAGTCACCTCAACAGTCAATAAATGATGTTATTCAGCAAAGACAACACACTGATCTTTAACATTTTGTCATAAGATTTCAATACAATTAAAAGTAAGGATAGTTTAAAGTACAAAAGTAAGGCAGCCTAAAGAAAACAAAAAGAAAAATCACTTACTTGATATTATCAAGACAGCCCGATTCAGGTTTCAGAATGGCAGTATGATGAAACATTTTATATAAAGCAATCCCAAGGAAGATGACATTAAGCTGGAATATAAAAGGTATTATTATATAGCATAGCTGCAGTAGAAAAAAAGTAAGTCTATTCTCCATAACAAATGAGTTGTTTTGGGAAATTAGCTCTCACTATACTTTTAAAGGGATTGATTCATAGATGATTGCCTAGTATTTTAGTAAAGGCAAGAAGTCAGTTTGGGGAATTGGGATACCAATGAGTTATAAAGCACTGTGAGGGCAAATACACCCAAATACAAAATCAGCAGCAGTGGGAAAGATACTGTGGAAATTGCAGAACAACTCAAAGCCAAGCATACCTTTAAAAAAACCCACAATAATTATTCTAGGTGTGTAATTATTTCCACCCTCTGCACATGGCCCTAATTTATCATTAAGGGATATATTTTCAAATGCTACAATACAAAAACAAAAATATTAAAATCAATATATTTTTGAATAGCTACATCAAAAGGATTATAAAATGCTGGTTAAATTTTGATGTTAAAATAAACTAGGATTTAAGGAGAGGTAACCACCAATGAGATTGTTATATTACAGAGAGAGCATATGACTTAAAACAAAACAAAAAAACACTCCAGTGTAAATCTTGTATATTACATGTATGTAAACTGAAGTGAAATCACATATTGAATTGCCATTTATCACCTGATTTGTTTATATATTTCAGAACTTGGGACTGGTGGGGACCAGGAACGTCCAATTCTAAGGCCCACTGAAGTTCTCTCAAGGATACAGGTCTACAATCCTTTATCAAATCCAAAAACTCTGAAAGTGAAAGTTTTAAAACATTCATTGAGTAGCCAAAAAGCCTAACCAGAACTGAACCATTTGGTGGGGAAACCTGATTGTCATGGACATAAGGCTCCTCATATCTTTATTCTATTTGCTCTTACTTTTCCTATTTTTTCCTGCTGAATTATTACTGTGTTTGGTTTCAGAGTCCTGCCTAGTCCCTACTGTGAGTCTCGGTTGATATGTTTGATTTTGGGCAACTGCTTATTCCCCACGAGGGACACTACATAATATGCAGTACATGCACATGTTACCTTTCTAAAGTCTGGAAAATTTCTGAACTTCAAAATATACCTGGCCCACAGGATTTCAGAGAATGAACGGTAGACCTACATTTTATTCAAAATCAAGTGGCTATTTTATTCAAAAAATGGATAGCAACTTTGTATTTTAAAATGATAGGTATGTTAATGATACCAACAATTATATCTAAATTAGGATAAATAAATCAGATTTGAAATCAAGATTTTATGCATCTACAAATAAAAAAGAATGACTACAGAATGTTTGTTTGTGCCTGTCTAAAGCGACCTCCTTCTAAATTTAAAATTTTTCAATATACACAATATAAAACAAAACTGGAAGGAACAGGAAGGTACTTTGCAGGAAAAGCATCCCAATTTCTGTTTCCATTCATAATTCAAATTATCCAAATGAAAAAGAAAGGAAATGTATTGTTGTCAAACTTGAAGTCACCATTGTCCAAAAACCTATAAAACCAAATGGATTATGTTGGATTAGGCTCCTGAGGAGCTATAGCACTGCATAAACTCTTGCAAATGCATGTTTTCTTTTCCCAACGGTTTTGATTAAGTATTTTACAATATAAAAGTAGACTATAATGAGTGTCTAATTGCCTGAGTTATGTAGGGTCAAATAAGTACATGCATTCCTCAAATTAATCTATGTAAACTAAAGATAGCCAGTACAGGGATAGTGAAAGTTTTATTTCTTGACCTGGGAAACACATAGTTAATTAGGAGTTCTTACCATAATTATCAAGGTCGCTGGTCCTATAAAACTCCAAATGAAGTAGGTGTCAAGTCGGAGCCAACATCTGCAATGAAACACAAGGGAGAGAAGGCCTTCAAGGACTGGTATGGGACATACATCAAGAGTGAGTGAGTGACAGAGAAGAATGTGAGCTGCAGTGCATTCCACTGGGAGACAGGAAATATTACATTGCTTGTTCATTTAAATGCTGAATTATGTGCCCAATTTCTGACAGCACTATTGATGGAGTAAGATAATTACCCCCGGAGGAAGCAGGAAAAAAATGGCACTGGGCCTATTTGCGAAGGCCCTTTGAGTCTGTCACAGAAACCTTAAAAAAAAGTAAAGGAAAGAACGAAAAAGCCATACGCATAGCCATTAAATCGAGTAGCTTTAAGCTATCCTTTTCTCTCCAATTATGGTGCTACATAACCTGTCTATCAGCTGTCAGGGAAAGTGACATTTTCCTGTCAAGAAGATCTGAGGAAATTCAGTACAAAGAAGAAATAAATTTGGTATCAGAAGATTGAAGTTTAATTAGGTTGGGCAGCCAACCTTTGAGAGTTCCTGAGTCTTAAAAAGTGCATTGTTACTGCTAGTGCTTCTGGGCTTGCAAATGATCCTTAGCATCCCATGAAGTTGATTCATGACCCAAAAGTAAATTATTAATCACTTAATTTCAGCTACATTTAATACTCCCCCAATTTTTAAAGCCCCTGGGAAATTACATTTTCATTCTTCAGGATGACAGGAAGACAAAATGGAAGTGACTAGTTATGAGAAAGATTAATGTAAATTTTGAACAAATTACATTTGATGTTAAAAATCATATCTTGAATTATTTGCCATTTTGCTATATTTGAGGCATAATTAAAAAAGAAAACATCTCCAGTGGAAAATATTCGAGAGTGGTTTGCTAAGTAGTCTAAACCTGCAAATCCTAAGTAGCTAAATGTTTCTGTCATTATGAAAATGTTACTTAAACCTCAGCAATAATGGAATACCAGAAAAGCTGCTAAGGAAAGAATTTATAAATGTCCATCAAAAGAGGAAGGGATAAATAAAATGTTTTCTTTTCATATGATGAAATGTTATAAAACAGTTAAAAGCAAGGAAGTAGTCTACAGATGTCAATAAGATAGATCACAAAAACAAAGTTAAGTGAAAGAGCAAAGTGAAGAATATATACCACATACCTTTTAACATATATATATATAATATACAGTATTATTTTTAGTATGTGATTGATATATATTTATATGAACATATAGTATTATTATATAATATATATTTTTAAGTGTGTGATTAATATATTGGTATATATATATTTCAATTACTTAAAATAATATACTATATTTATGATAGATACATATATACATGTAATTTTTTTTAAATGGAAAGGGGAACAAAAATCACCAACCTCATGTTAGTGGTTGCCTTTTACATGAATGCAGAGAGGACTAGAAGTGGACCAAAGGGGCTTTAGCCATACATCTTATTTTAATAATTACTGAAAGCAATGTGCCAAAATACTAACAGTTTTAACATCTGTGTCATGGAGGCAGTGATGTTTATTTTATTTATTTTTTCACTTTCTTGTAACTTGAAATTTTTTTTAAAAAGATTAAAGGCTAGATTTTTAAGCCAAAAGAACAAAAACCAAGAAGCAAAGAAACCCAATTCTCTGAAAAAAATCAATTTCAAAACAACAAAATCTGGCCTCCTTCTAATGTGTTAAATACATATAAACTAACTTAAATAGAAATATAATACTTGTACTCCAGTAAGAAACTGACTACAAGTTCGTATTTTCATACAGATAATTTCTCATTATTCAAAATAAACATATAATCCCATTTGAAACAAGGGTGTTAGGGAAGCAATTAATCGTTAAACTATTAGCCATTAGTTTGAATAATTAGTTATCTTTCTATTGTGCCGTTGTTCAAAAAAATTTGGTCATGAAAAATAAGAGTGTGATGTTGCCAATAAACAGAAACAAACCAAAGAACTCGAGGTTGAACTATGAACATTGTCTTCATTCTGCTAGTTTGTTACCACCCTAATAAAGGAATGTGTTTGGGCAGGGGGTGGGGGGGTACCAGAGCAGGGGAAATGTTCACAGGTCTCTCTGGCTTCTCAACAAAAACTATATTTTCCCTCAAGACAAAAACGGTAAAGGACAAAGCATGGACATTTCCCCAGATTAGAACCCACTCAGCCCCCTTCCTCCCAACCCCACGGAGGACAAGAAAGTTGCTGAAATTATAACAACATGATACAATACTAATAACACATTTAAAATCAACTGTTAATAGTACAGTCCCTGTCATTTTGTAGGTCAAACAAGTTCTCGAGAGCTAATCTGAGAACTAAAACACATTTTTAGCAAATTCTTTTTAAGGGAAAATGTGCTTCAAGAACTTCTAAAAGATGTTATTCTACAGGCTAACGACTTCTTAAAGAAATAATTTTAGTTATATTGTTACAGCGTATCTTGGACTAAGTATGGAATTTTAAAATTTTAAATTATATCACCAAATGTTTTGTTAAAATAAAATAACGTCATTAAATGTTAGCCTTACAATGCTTTACCTTTTTGAAAACAGTCTCAGCTTAGCAAATGCTTTATTTGCAAATAAATGTGCTTTTGGCATAGTGATCTCTAAATGTGGACATGAAATTACTTTGAAAGTTATTATTTTTATTCCTTAAGAAAATTCTTCAATATCTCTTTGGTACAATAAATTTAAATTCCCTTCAGAATTGAACAGTGAAAGAGGCAATATGAAACACTTAAAATGTACTGAGTAAATCATCCCTCCATGAGGGCCTCCTGGGCTTGACTATCTTCTGGAAGGCAGTGTGGCAAGAATCCTTTTTCTAATTTGATTGCCATATGGCCACACCTGCTGTTGTTTTTGGCCACATGCTGAATTTCTCAAGGCTTTCTGTATTTCCCATTTTTCTATATTTCCCATCTTTCCCATTAACTACCTTAAAAGTTTGCATGATTCCCGCCCTGAATTCCATGTGTCAATGCTGAAACAATTCACTCTGGCATTAAGGTGAAGGAGTGTATATTACATGTATATTATGTTACGTGGGGTGTGTATTGCATGCCTAGGCACATATGTTGCACTTTATAGCATTCTATAAGCCTAGGTGATTCAATGCCGCTTGGATACAATGCAAAACCACTGGTTAAGGCGAGACCGGGCTAGATTAGTAAAACAAATACTGCAGGAACAACTTACTGCGCTAAGAAAAATAAAGTCCAGTCTGCAAATGGCCAGATAGACCTGCTACTGAAGAATAAGATTTATCTGAAAATTGCTTTTATCTACCAAGCAACATTTAATTTGTGAAATCACTAATTTTAATAGGCCATTCTTGTTTAATTTCTAAGTTATGCCAATTTCTTTTTTAAAAAGAAATTCTGTCACACGCATAAAACTGTAAGTTATGTTTATAGTAGTACTGTAACAAGAGATGACCTGCAGTTGAAAAAGCAAGTGTATTCTGACCATACTACACGTTTATTTGAAGCAATACTGAAAAATCTTATGATACCGGATATATTCTGGAATTCAGAGGAGCACTTGTCATATAACAAAACCTTGACTTTTTCACTTATCTAATATAAAAATGTCATTAAAATTCTTTTTGTAGCATTTTTTACAAATTATAACAGCAGCAGGTATTGTTATATATGTGATGAAGACTTACTGCATTAATACAAGTTTATTGGTTGAATACTCTAAAGAATACTCTTGTGCTAATGATAAGAATAAATTATTACTCTTTTTCAGAATTATTCTCTTCCAAAATATAGGAAACATCATTACAAATTAAATAATAAAGATGTGGATATCTGGATCAGTCTTCCATAAAAATGTCAATTACCAATCCAACAAGTACCACCATCATGTTTAATCAGAAAAGAGAAAAATAAAATAACGAACTAAATTAATTTCTCAAAACAGGACCATAGAAAATCATACTTCTAAAGTTTACTCTCTTCTAATATTAAACTACTCATCATTTTATTATCATTAGTCATTTTAAAAGCACATGATTCTGTATTTAGAAAAATGGTAAGGCCAGTTGTGCAACATATATAAATATCACATGAAACATGTTTTAAAATGCTTTTAGAACCAGTAACACTATCAGAGTGTAGTTTTTATTCAAAGTTAGCATGTTTAATATATTGACCTTAAAATACTTTAGGATACATTCTGTTTTGTTGCCTGTTTAATATACTCTTATCAAAGTAGACATCTGACTATTAACAAGTTTTTCGAAGTACTATAAATTAGCAAGGGTATTTGCTTAATTTTTTCAGGACCCTAAATGATAGACAAAATCCTTGGTTATTATTAGAACATGAAATTTATAAGGCTTCATTCTATCAGGTTGTTTACAAGAGTTTGTAAACTATGTACTCTTCTTTTCCCTGCACCATATTTGTACTACATATATCTCTATATTTGTACTACATATATCTGGCAAGCTTGACAGAGAAAAGAAGGAATAACGAGAATTGGGGCAAGAAAGAAGGAAGAGAAGAGGAAAAGAGACAGATACAAACGTGAAGTATAATAAGCTCACTAGGTAATATATCTAAAAATTTCTTTAATGCCATTTTGATCACAGGACACTCATGCATCTAATCTTGAAACATTTTGTGACCAAGTGCATGAACTGGAAAAAAGGTTGACAGAGTAATACAGGAATGGAGTGCGATCAGTAGTAGTCAAGACTAGCATTTGTGATTTAGCTTCAGTTTTGAACATTAGAATTCCACACTGGCTCTAATACATCAAATACAGGTTATGTTGTCTTCATGTTCTCAATGTTATTTTTTTTAAATAAGGGTTTCACTATTTCTTCAGTAAAATACATTCTACTTTTTTTTTCTTTTTGCTGAGGAAGATTCACCCTAAGCTAACATCTGTTGCCAATCTTCCTCTTTTTTTGCTTGAGGAAGAGTAGCCCTGAGCTAACATCTGTGCCAATCTTCCTATATTTTGTATGTTGGTCACCACCACAGCATGACTG